GGGCCTGGATGCAAGAAAGAGTTCCCACCCGGAGGTGTCGGGTTCCTCACAGTGTAGGATGTGGGGTCTCTGGCGCAGGGTTCCTTTTTCGGGGCTTCCGGCTTAGGGTTCTCAGTCCCTGGGGCTTGGGGTATCTTGGGGTTTCGTTGGAGGGGACGAAATTTCCGCAAAGGGGGCGTGGCCGAGACCCTGGTTCATGCAGTCACTGGACGGTCGTTGCTTTTGGGGTTTAGGGTTGCTGGGGTTGCGGGCTTCTAAGTTAGGGGCTTCCAGGTTTCTGAGAGGCGGGCTTCTGGGTTCGGGGATTAAGATTTCGAGGTGGCGGGCTTGTGGGTTTGCGGGTTTAGGGTTTCGGGGTTGCAGGATGTTGGGTCTAGGGTCCAGGGTTTTTGGGTTGTGGGCTTCTGGGTTCAATGGTTTATGGTGTGCGGGTTGCGGGCTTTTGGGTTTATGGGTTTGGGTCTAGGGTTTGTGGGTTGTGGGCTTCTGGGTTTGTGTCGGGGTTTCTGGGTTGCGGGCTTTGCGGTTTAGTGGTTTAGGGTTTCTGGGTTGCAGGCAGGCTTCCAGATTCAGTGGATGAAGGTGTAGGGGTTGCGGGCTTCTGCTAGGGTTTGTGGGTTCAGGGCTTTTAAGTTTAGAGTCTAGAGTGTTTTTGGGCTTTTTGATATTTCTGGGTTGCGGGTTGGGGTTTGTGGGTTTTCGGGTGTAAGGCGTCTGCAAAGTTTCTGGGCTTCTGGGTTTGGAGTATATAGGATCGTGCATTGCGGGTTCCGGTTTCTAGCTTTACAGTTTCTTTTTTCAAGGTTTCCGGATGTAACTAGTGGTTCGGGCGCTCACACTCGGAGAATCTTGTCACATGGTTCAGCGGCCTGGCACACGCTGGCAGCAAAGGACATGTTGTTGGCAATTTCCGTTGACTCGACCCTTGTGAATAGGAGGCTCTTACTCAAGACCGACACTCCCAAGTTCGGGTCGCTTACCGCCCACACGGGGCTGTTAGAGAGGCGCTGTGCTGCGACGTCACACTGGTCTCTCCGCTAATGCGAGAAGGGCGCCTTCAGCCTTCTGCCGTCATCTCGTGACGGCGCCATGATCACTGTCACCGAAAGGCGCAAGCGAGCAGCTCACCCCGAACTACTGCGACCAGGGCCCCAGCGCCTCTGCATCCTCGCCTGTGAGGCTGGTGGGCGCTGCCGCGCCTCGTCGCTCAGCTGGTGCGGCTTTGTGCCCAGCGCGCTCCTGCCACCCTGCGACGTGCTGCTACGCAGGGCCGGATGCGCCGGTGGTGCTTGCTCAGCATGGCTCTGCAAAGCATCCTTGCTGCCACACTGCTTGGAGCGCCGTACATGGCTGGCACCATGCCCGGTGCCCAGCTTCCTGTACTGGGCGCAAAGCATGGCGCTGGCAGGCGGAAAAGAAGCATACAAGCAAGAATCGATTTTGCCCAAGAGGTCCATGACGACTCAACGAGCATGTTCTATCGGTTCGACATTGATGAACCGGCCGTTTGTTGCCGATAGGTTGGGTCCGGAATGGTTTTTGCCTTGCCGCGGACACAGTGGCATCGACAGCCTGCGGGCGGTCTGGCTTTGCATGTGTTGCTCGAGGATGCTCCAGCGAGATGCGTACTCGAGAGCCCGGCGCCGCCTCCGGGTGCAGTTGCTGCAATTTACTCACGTGTTGGGCAGTGGGGTTAAACATCCTCGAACCAGCACACCGAGTGCCTCGCGTCCAAGCATTGTCTTGCAGCAAGGGCTCTATGCGCGGTCACGCTCCCAGCGGACTAATATGAAGCAACTGTCGTTTTTTTCGGCCTGCCTTAGCTGCCTTGGCGTGATATGACCGCAGATTCCGTGAGGTGAAGGCTGGATTCATAGGCCCGGTGGCAGGCATGAGCAACTGTGAAAAAGCGGAGGCGCATGCGGCTGCGTGAGCCGTGGGGATGTTGACTTGCTACAACAGCATAACATGATCTGCGCCCCACTCAGACTGGCACGTTCTGTCCGGACCGCGTCGGACGCTCGCAATATCTAAGCAGCATTGACACCACGTATCGAGAGCTTCACTTGTGGCCCTGCATCGCAATTTTTGGATGTGTGTGCCATACCCTGCTGTTGCCACTCCATGTTATGGTCCGGGAACCATGTGGTTACGAGACAATTGCTCGACGATCTCCTTATGTGAAGCTTACTGTACCATCTGCATCTATAGAAAGATATTCTGCCATGTGTGCTGTCATGCATCGGAATTGGGCTGAGGTTAGATCATATTTCTGTTTTGCGTTTTCGGCTCTGCACTCAGAAGGCTGCCAGTCCAGAAGATGCAAAGGCCCGGCATCGTACTGTGAGGTGTGAGCGGGCCTTGCCAAACTCGGATGCGACCGACATCCCACAGGCAATCGAGCAGCCGTTTGCAAATATATGCAGTTGCAAGAAGTATACGTTCACGTGTTTTTTGGCGGTACTGTCCTGTTGCAATCACATCGGCGCATGGATGTGCAGATTCCGTGCAATCGAAGGCGCAGGACGCTTTTCAGCGTAAGCTCGTCACACGTGCGGGCTTCAGGTCAGCGCCAGATGTCTGTTTCCGTTTGTAGTGGGAACACATTGTGCTTCCCGCAGGACAGCTGCAGATGATCGGGCAGATCAAGGAAAACTTGGCTGCCAGCCCAAATGCTTGCCTGCAGTATCACCCCTGTTCACAAGTTGGACAGTCCTCAGGTGCGTTTTATCCTCGTGTGGGATCCCCTCTTTTATGCGAAGCCCCGCGAAAGCAGCAAAACGTCATGAGGTATCACGAGCCACCGTTGTGTGATGCCCTGCATGGCTCTACAAGACGTGTTGTTTCGCCAGGCGGCCGGACGTCATGGATGTTGCTGGCACGGTCCTTGTCAGTTCTTTCTTCGTCGTTTTGATTTGCTTGCTGGCTGCTCCTGTTGTTGCAGCTTGTATTTGCCGAGGCACCCAACAAGTAGCAAGACAGGACACGCTTGGTGGTGCGGGGTTTCCGATGCGCCCTCGCATGAAGAGCTTCGTCAGCTGTCAGCTGTACAACAACTTCTCTCAGCCATCAGCTGTTAAAGCTCTTGCCGAATCTCGGGGTAAGAGGAACGGGCAGGAACAGGAAGGTGGCAGCGAGGAGAACACTACGCAGTTCCGGTCCCCTAAAGGGCAAGGGTGGTGTTTTGACCTCATGAATATTAGCACACTGCCTCCCCCGACGACCCTGGAGGGAACCCAATTTGTCTTCACAAGATTCTGCATGCCCAGACTCATGAACCTAGCAGTCTCGGTCCATGTGTAGTGCGCGGGTTCAACAATCCCCGCTGCTGCTGTTGCTGTTGCTGGCGGTGCTGGAGTGCTGCTGGGTGCTGCTGAAGGCTGCTGAGGGCTGCTGAGGGCTGCTGAGTGCTGTTGGGGGGATGCTGGGTGCTGCTGCTGCTGCTGGGTGCTGCTGATCCTGGTGCTGAGCCTGGCGCTGCTGGCCCAGCTGGTGCTGGCACTGCTGGCGCAGGCACTGGCGCTGGTTGGGCTCTGTTGCTCTGTGGCTCGCTGCTATGTTGAACTGTTGCTCTGTTGCTCTTCTTGTGTCGTTGTCGTTGTCGTCGTTGTCGTTGTTGTGGGCTGCGGTTACTTATGTTGCTGATGCTGCTCATGTTGCTGCTATGCTGCTGTTGCTGCTGCTGTTGTTAGTAGGAGGAGCTCTGGCAGCAGGGGCAGAGCAGCAACAACAACAACATTAGCACCAACACCTCCGACAACGAAAGCAGCAGCGACAGCAGCGGCCAGCAGCAGCAGCAGCAGCAGCAGCAGCAGCAGCAGCAGCAGCAGCAGCAGCAACCGCAACCACAACTGCAACACACCGCAACCGCAGCCTACCGCAACCGCAACGCAACTGCAACAACAACAACAACAAAGCAACAACAGGAACAGTGGTAGCAGTGGTGGTGGCGGCGGACGAGGGACAGTATTGGCAGGAAGCAATCGTCGGCAATAACATAGCAATACCGTGGCCAACAGCAACGACTACAACAGCAACGAACATACAAAGAAAGTGGCTAACGGCACGGCGAAGACAACAGTGGCGGCTTTGAGCACAGCTACAGAGCAGATGTGGGTTTCAGGCTGCGTCCAAGGGTTACAGTTACATCCCCTTCGGCATGCTGGTGTTGGTTCGGTGCGCACTGCATGGGGAACCGGAGCCAACTGTTGCGTAGGACAACTGCGACCTGGAATGTGATGCGAGCAATGCAGACGCAGAGCATCACGACGAGGGCAACCTGCTGAGTTCAGAGAGTCAAAAGTTTAGAGGTTGACTCGACTGACGTAGTGCAAGTGTCTGTGACTGCGGTGTACAAACGACCTGGTTCTTCCATACTGAAGATAAATACCACTGGGTCCGGGTGTCACAATTTGTAACATGAGTCGATCACCAAGGCTCGGCTGCTCAAAAAATGGGACCTGCAGAGGCGGGATTTGCTGCCTTTGGAGCGCATTTTTTTTTTTTTTTTTTTTTGTGTGTGTGTGTGCGCGTGTGTGCACCTGTTGTACTCATTGCGTCCGTATTTGCCTTGTGTGCAAACACGAGTCGAGGTATGCCAGCTGGTGCCAGTTGCTTCGCAAAGCAGTGCAGTGTCGGGTGGTATTTCCACCACTTGCAAGGGCCTTGCCTTTCTGATGCTGCTGAGGTCTGCCGGTGTACATGCACGAAACACCCCTGCACCTGTGAAAAGGCAGCACAGCCGCCGGCAGCGGAGTCGACGGTTTTGCACAAGGCAGAGTTGATGTCGTTGTTGTTGCTTTATGTGAGTTGACGTTTGTACTGCTTGACCAAAGAGTGAGTGTGCATGCGGATGTCCTTAGCCTTAACTGGAATCGTCTAAGCTGGGTGAGAGCTGACACGTGTGCGGGATTGGGCGAGGACAGCGATTGGCCTCTGTCGACCTCAAGCATCAGCCATTAAGGCGGGCACGAAACAGGTCAGTGTTTAGCGACTGCGTCATGGTGCGTGGTGTTGGGCACTTGTGGTGTGAAGTTCAGGTCCGCCACGCATCTTGTGCCGAACGCATTGTGTCCAGCACGTCCACCGGCAGAGGTGGTGACTAGCCCAGAATTCTTTTGCATTGCATCCGGCATTCTACCATCACAGGCTCTTTCACGGTCATCGTCAGTGCCCAGTGGTCGTGGAAAGCGAGGTCCGTGGGACACCCAGATGTTTTGGCCAGGTGTTGTGCCAGGAATTCCTCACCTCTCGTGCTTTGAAGTTCTTTGTGCAGAGCATGTGGAATCCGAGGAGCCAGGCGGCTGCCGATGGCGCGTCCTTGTTCTTAAGCGACCAGAGCAAGGGAGCCCATTTTGGCACCATGCCAAGGCAAGTACATTGGACCGACTCAGTGTTTCCAACAAGAGCTTCCACATTGTCGACATTGTTATCAAACACAAGTTACACAAGACACTAGCAATTCTCCACTAGAGGTCCTGGCAACGGTGTCGCACAAGTTAGACATAGGTCCGATCCCACAAACTGGCGGGACAACCAGCTCAAAACTGTACTGAACCTTTGACGGCGCCAAGCACGTCGCCTGTTGCATCGTCTTGAAACATTGGCGGGTTGCTTCTGACCGTCCATGCTACGAGCCCTCTGGCACAACCCAGCGTACCCCATCGTGCAGCAAGCCAGGGCACAGGCGGATGTATGTCGTGCATCCCAAGGAAGGCATGGATTCGCAAAGGCTTGTTCAATCATGCTCGTGCTGCCAGGGATGTGGAAGTTCTGCCACAAAGTTTAGGGCCTGGCCCAGCACGACGGATGCCAAGAAGCCAGCAGCAGAATCCCGGAGAGATGCCTTGTGGACAAGTCGTGCACCAAGGCTATGATTCGGGCCTCGCTGCTTTCAAGACCTCGGGCAGGGTTGCTGCCCCAGTACATGAGGTCGGACAGCCCTGCGTCGATGCTGTGGAATGTGTTACGACCTGTCTGACGATAAGGTTTCTTTCGGGATGCCGAAATTCAATGCGGAACCCCGCAGAACGATGGAGGGCATGTACGTTCGCGGCTGGTCCGGGCCTGGCGTTGGAAAGCGCCTCGGCCCAGGGAGTGAGACCATGTTGCTCAGATATTCCCGGATTACCAGAAAACGTCCCCACTCTGGCCAAGCCTCCACGCTCGGGTTCTAGCTGTTACTCGTAGGAGTCGAGGGGCGTGTGGATGGATTTGTGGGGTTTCAGATTCGATGTTATTCGTTTCTTTTGCCATCAGCTTCTGCGTTGGTAGCGTGTCGGGTATCTGAGCACTTGTCGACCACGATTCGTGGCTGTTGAGTCTCTTAAACAAGACCACGTGCTCGTCCGTGCTCGACACGGACATGATTTAGTTGAGTTGCGTCGTGCTTGCTTGGTCTTTTGACACTCTTCTAGCAGTTGTGTCTGCTTTCCATTTGCTCTGTTGCCAATGTGTGCAGGACATGATTTGTGTTCCAGACCTTCCCACAGAATTAGAGTGAACGTGTTCGAATTGCAATCGTTCCATGAAAGACCTTCCTTACAGGATTCGCTGTGCATTGGGGCTCTGGTAATGTTGAGCTCAGGTACAACCCACCGTTGCGCTCGCGCTCAAGGCGCGTGCCCGTTCTTATGCAAGAGATGCAAGAGCCCGGAACCCGGCCCGTGAGCCTTACAGGGGTGGCAGCTTCACCCGTGCAGCTCGTTGGGGATCGAGATCAGCAGGCGACGGCAAGACGAAGGCCTTGCAGGTGAATTTGCTTCCCTTCCCACAGCCAGGCGGCCTTCCTGGGACTCTTCCAAGCCCTTCTCCTGGCCCGATGAGCTATAAGCCGAATCATGCTGCACTGAGCACCGTCCACTGACACGCTATCAAAACTTGATGACGTGATGCGGTAGGAAGCCTGTACAGTCAACTCTGGGACCGTATGGCTGCAAAAGGTAGGCCGCATGGTCAGCCAGAGCTTGCATTGCAAGTGTTTCTGTGCACGCACGTAGCCAGTAAAAGTCAATGCCAATCTCCCTTCGTGTCTCTCGGGCAAAGGGTGCTGAGACCTGCCGTGGAGGCGAAGCTGTCAAAACGATCTGTCGACCGGCAGAGACTTCGCTTTGGATGCCGCTGCGACTCCATGGGGCCAAGAAAGATGGGCAATGCCGCTGGCAAGCTATGTGTTCAACATGTGAAAGCTGGCAGGTTAATTTGATGCTTGAGGGAGACATGCATTTCTGGAGGTCGCAGAGGAAGGCTCAAGTAGGCTGAAAGTGTATGGAATCGGGTGCAGTGATGGACCGAGTTTCGGCTGGACCTTTGCCGCTGCAGCGAGCACGTGAGAAACTTTCCAGCTTACAGAGTGGCTCATCCACGCCGACAAGTACCTTGTCCAGTAACGTGGTGGGGCATGTGGACGGTTCCGGCGACCGTCGTGAGCTGTGCGGGTACGACTAGGTGCGTGGGGAAGGGGTCGAGACGGCTTCTATTTCTTTACCTGTGTTGTTAGAGCATAGGCAGGATTTTTCTCTCTCTCTCTCTCTCTCTCTCTCTCTCTCTCTCTCTGTTCTCCTATTATCGGCTAGGTAGGTCTGGAATAGGAGGGTCACACTACAGCATGAGATCAGCATGCTCTTTTGACTTTTGATCACCACGTTGATCCGTGGCCATTTTGGGTCGAGACGATCGTCTCGATCCGCGAAGGATCTTTTTGTCGATCAGGTGAGGTCTAGGGCCTGGGTAGCTTTCGCTCGAGCTATGGCTGGTTGGGGTCAAGACGCCTGGGGTCAGCAGCAGGCTGATCAGCCTCAGCCCTATGCTGGTTACCCTAATCAACCGAGGGGCCAGTGGGCTGGTCAGACCCAGCAGGATCGCAGGGAGAGACGCCACCGCCGTGATCGTGGTGGTGATCGTTTTCCGAATGCTGCTCATAACCCTTATGAGGTTCGTCTGCCCCAGCACATTGAGTCGATCGCTACCTGTGACGATGACGATCGCAAGACCTCGATCATCATGGTCGACACCAGAGATGAGAGGATCGTCTCGCCTTTTCAGGCATGGCTGGTCCGGGAGATTATGACGAACGCCTCCTCCTCGACGAACGTCTTGACGGAGAGAGATCAAGTCATGACACCCAGTTCTGGGTACCACATGTCGCTCTTTGCCAACTACACTCTGGATGGCATAAGGGCGACACTGGCGATCTCAGTGGACTCCACGACAGGAGTTCCCTGTGGAGACTGGTCTGCTCAGACCGCCAACGCGCTCGCCCACGAGGCTTTCCAGCCCTTCTCGTGGCCGGTGTTCAGGGACACGTCGCCATCGTACACCGATATCAAGGTGTACAATGGCAATGAGATCCTCTTTCACTGGATCCTGAGGGGATACCGTGCCGACTCGGATCTGTCGGTTCAGCAGCAGTTCGTTGACGAGCTGCTGATCCGCGACGTCTGCCGTGGTCGGGTGCGGCTCTCGGTCGTGGTGGCCGCTTTCACCGGCTGGAAGTGCTCCGTCTTCTCTTTCGAGTGTGGCGGTCGCACCTACTCTGTGGGCCCTCAGGGCGTGGTCGTGGCTGGAGATCATGCCCGCTCGAGGTTCGAGCTCCGAGTGTGCAGCCGCTCTTCAGAGGATGCGGTCGGAAATGACGCCGATCGGCTGGAGTTCCGCTATCGGGATGCCAACAATCGCATGGACTTGAAGTGCGCTCGCACTTCGGTCCCAGCTACGTGGTTGACGGTCTCCCACATCAGCGGGCCTACGCTCATTCAGGCCATCACCCGGTGCCGTGATCAGCGGGCACGGGTGGAGGGGCCTGAGCAGACTGAGCAGTTCGCTCAGCTGGCGGCCGCTCACCAAAACTGGTGGCACAATGCTCTCACCACGGACTATGCCCATATCGGCGTGCTGGTCTCGTTCGTGGGCGGCCTTGATCATGGCAACTTCCACGTTCAGTGTGAGAGCAAGCTCTACGTGATGCAGGGGGCTGTGGTCTCAAGGACCCACACCCAGGAGTCGGCTTCTCCGCTGCCGTTCGGCCCGCCCGCTCTTTCTCAAGGGGCTTGGCGGCAGGCGGCGGTCAGCTCTGACACTGCCGTGCCGGAGACTTCGCAGATTGCCGTTCGCAATCGCAATCAGGCGGAGATGGAATCCCGGGCGCTCGCCCCCGAAGATCGACCACCTGCTCAGCCGGTGGACTACGATCAGAACGATGAGGAGGGCACCCGTGGGCACATGATCGATGCTGCAAGGGACGATGCTCGGCAAGATCGTTCCTTTGCCCGCTCGACGGCAGAGCTCACACCGGCGCAGTTCGCCGAGCTGGCCGACTCGTACCACAACCCTGTTGGTCACGCTACCTCTTCGGCGGCAGCTCAGTCTTCCACGGTCGTGGTCGAAGAGGCCGAGCCGGAGAACTTGCTGGCTCCAGCAGGAGAGCCGACCTCGTTCAGGCCGCACCGCACGCCATGATGGAGGCCGAGCTCAGAGGTGCTCACCCGTTTTGATCCAAGGGTGTTCACCCCAGGATGCCGTGAAGGCGATTTAAGCTCTCGCTCGCATTTTGGAGCCACGACTGCTCCCGCTCGGGCAAAAGAGTTCAGAGATGCAGCCCTATGCCGGTCAGCAGTTCTGCACATGTTTTCACTGTTGATGTTTCTCTCTCTCTCTCTCTCTCTCTCTCTCTCTCTCTCTCTCTCTCTCTCTCTCTCTCTCTCTCTCTCCTCCTCTCTCTCTCTCTCTCTCTCTCTCTCTCTCTCTCTCTCTCTCTCTCTCTCTCTCTCTCTCTCTCTCTCTCTCTCTCTCTCTCTCTCTCTCTCTCTCTCTCTCTCTCTCTCCTTCCTTTCTCAGTGCAACATGTTCACAGTGCTCGGCAGTCATGTCGTTCGTCGTTTGTCGTGCCGTTCGGTTGGCCGGGAAGGTTGGTCGGGGCACTGCAACGACGATGCTCATGATGCCTTTCGTGATTTTCTTCTTTCGCTAGTTTTGGCTCGGCAGGATGTTGCGGGAAGCAGCGCCAGCCGATCGCTGGACAGCGAAGATCCTTGCTTACCCATGTTTCGACCATGGGTTTCGCCAGGCGATCGTGGCGACCCGGTTGGCGGAGATCCCTTTTGTTCTTTCAATGGACGCCGGGACGCCCGAGCAGTTCGCCGCGGTGTCTCTCGACTGGACGGCCAGCTCGGCCAAGACGGAGCACGACCTCCTGGCTCCGAGGACCCAAATGCTCGAACAGTACTGGGTCTTCGTGAAGGCGGCGGAATCGCTCTTTGTCGAGTCTCTCGGCTACCAGATGGGCTTTGCTCGCTGCTCTAAGGTGCCTAGAGAACGTTCTGCGAAGTCGATCGCACACTTTCAGCGGGAGATGGCCATCCAAGCTCTGGCTGCACCAGTTCTGGCTCCTTCGGCTAAATCGAGGCTGCCGGCAAGCTCTTCTGCTCCCTCGGCAACTCCATTGCTCGACTTGGAGAACGCCGAGAAACAGAAATGGGCTAAGCGCTTGAAGGCGATCGCCGATCGGGCCGGCGAGCACGCTCGGCCCGAAGGGGTCCACGATGCTGAGGGGATCCTTTCGGAATGGGGGGCGCCTTCTACCATGGCAAACCACATTCGTAGGTTCGAGAAGTTCGAGTTGTGGGCTCGGCACGTGCCGCTCCCCCTCTACCCCATCTCGGACGACAAGATCCTGAAGTACGCCATGGAGCTCGACTCGAGGGAGTGCGGCCCGACTGTTCTTCCTTCGCTCCGCATGGCTCTGAAGTGGGTGGCCTTTCGGATCAACCTCAAGCTTCCTTCGATCGAGACAGCGGAGCTAAAGGCGCTTGAGAAGGAGATCTTCACACAGCGAGGGCGACCGCTGAAGGAAGCGATCGCTTTCCCGCTTGAGCTGGTCCAGGCGATGGAGCGCTTTGTCGCCAACGAAGCTCACCCTGTACCGGCCCGGGTGTTCATCTGGTGGGTCCTCTGCATGATCTTTGCGTCGCTCCGCTTTGACGACGCGATCCACGTGAAGCCTCACGAGCTAGAGGTCAAGCCGGACGGTCTGTTCGGGATCTCCTGGCAGACCAAGACCGAGAGGAAGCGGCGCGGCACCAAGTTCATGGTTCCAGACGTTGCATTTTCTAAAGTGGCTTGGTTCAAGATCGGGAATGACTTGTTCGAGTCGCAATTCCCGCTCGTGGAACGCGACTTCTGGATCCCCGAGCTCGACACGAAGGAGCGTTGGCGCCAGACTCCCCCTGATTACGCTCGCTCTCTTCAGTGGCTCCACCACCTGGTCTGGCTCGCGGGGCAGGAGAGTGGGGTCGCGAGGGAGTTCCTAGACAAAGTCACCGATCTTACATGTCATTCAGCTCGAGTGACTATGCTTGATCTGGCTGTCCATTGTGAACGATCGGAGCAAGAGATCGGGGTTCAGGCGAACTGGAAGAACCCCGGCCCGCTCGTTCTGAAGTACACGCGCTCGAGGTCCTCTCTTCCAGCTAAAATGATCAAGGAGTTGGTACAGGAGGTCTCGCGCGAGTTCGTGCCCCTCTGTGCTCAAGAGGATGACACGATCGAGGACGCACAGGACAGGGATCTTTCATTGACTGAGTTCTTTGTCAAGGTCCCAGTCAAAGGCTCCAGTTATGATTATCGTTTTCATGTGTGTTCTGCAGACTCTGTGGAAGAGATCGCATGCAAACGCGCGATCACGCCCGAATTTACACACATCGGGTCCGTTCTGCCTGACCCTAAGCTCTTTTGCAAACTGTGCGCTAAGGCTCGGCCGGATGTGGCTCTCGCCTTTAAGGTCTAAAATCCTGAGCAGTGCTGTGCCGGCTCTCGCCTTTTTCGCATTTGGGAAACTCTGTTGAAGCTTGCTCAAGCATTGATTGAGGCTCTCTCGTGTTGTTCTGCCATGGTCGACCGGGACAAGGACAAGACCCCCGAGCTCGCCTTGCGCCAGATCTTCGGACGGCAGAAGCTCCCAAGGTCGGAGACTGGCAAGAAGATCTTCAAGACTAAGGCAGCTCAGGTCTACCCCTCGGCGCTTTGCACCGCGTGGGCGATCGCCGTGGCCGCGATCGTGCAGAAGTCGGCCCAGCAGTTCGCCGCTTCCTTTGCTCTCACGGCTCCGTCGGCAGAACGCAAGCGATCTTTGGGATCCCAGATTGCTTGGAAAGGCCATCGCCAATCCGCTGCCGCTCGGCTGGCGGCGGCTAGCGGCTATCAGCTCAAACGTGGTGCCGCCAAGCCGCTGCTCGACATTGAGTGTGAGCCCGGTCAAGCAATCCAGTGGTCTCTTCAGGTTCAGCACCCATTCACCCTGCAGCCGGCGCTCCCCGCCAAGATCGTCGACAACATCAAGTTCATTGTATCCTCCCCGCAGGCGCTCGTGGCTCGCCGTTCTGAGCGCCTTCAGTTCTGGCAGCAGCGTGCGCTGGCGCTGCTTCCAGAGACCGATCGGATTTTGCGGTCGTTCGCCGACGCTCCTCTTCGTCGGCTTCTTCGCGGTGCTCCGGATTATGCTGATCTGCAGCTGGGCTCTTGCACTCACGTGGCGCTCTACGACGAGCTCTTCGCGGCGATTGGCTGCACGGATCATCAAATTCTCCAAGGTATTCGCAGTGGCTTCCCGATCGTTGGCCAAATCCAGCGATCGGGGCGCTGGCCGCCGTTCACAAAGCCACAGCGGTCAGTGCCTGTGCAGGAAGCTCTGGATCGGGCCTGGGAGTTGCGAGCCAAGATCTTTCGCAGATGCAGTTCGGTTCCTGTTTCGGACAATCTAAGGTCTCTTTGGAATGCCACGCTCGAGGACGTCAAGGAAGGCTCCACGCTGGGTCCGTTCGGATCCGAAGAGGAAGTCTCCAAGTTCTTGGAGTGTTCCGACTGGATCCCGACACAACGCTTCGAAGTGGTTCAGAAAAACAAGGTCAGAGGCTGCGACAGTGCGACCTCCAACTTGATCAACCAGACCGCGGTGATCACCGAGAAGTTGGAGCTCACCTCTACGGACTTGAATGTGGCAGTTCTGCGCGAGCTCCGCACCAGAGGAGGTGATCGCCCGCTAAGAGGATGGGTCCTCGACGAGCGGAAGGCCTATCGGCAGCTTCCGATCTCGCCGGAGCACAGGAAGTTCAGTGTAATCTGCCTGAAGGATCCGGGTGACGGCATTCCCAAGTTCTTTGTGATGATCGGACACTCCTTCGGGCTCGTGGCGGCGGTATACAATTATAATCGCCGCTCAGCTCTCATCAATGATATCCTCGTCCAGCTGTTCAGCATGGTCGCCTTCAACTTTTATGACGACAAGTACGGGTTCGAGACCGATCTCACAGCGCCATCGGCTAAGGTCGTGGCCGAGTGCATCCACTTCTGGCTCGGCGCTCTCTTTGACGAGAAGAAGCTCCAGCTCTCGGCGGCGCCCGTGATCTTGGGCGTGACTTTAAACCTTGAGCTCCTAGTTCTTGAGATCAAGGAGCAGAGGAAGCAGGAGCTCCTGGACTCGATCGACGCGATCTTGGAGGCGGGCACCTTGGATCCTGGGACCGCAGGGAAGCTCAAGGGTAAGCTCATGTTCGGAGCGAGCCAGCTCTGGGGGAAGGTGGGACGTGCGTTCTTCCGGCCCCTCTCGGAGCGCCAGTACTCGAAGGACCGGTCTAGCGATCGTATGGAGCTCAACCTGGCTCTGGAGCGATCGCTTCGTTACTGGCGGAACCTCATTGTTCATGGCCCTCCGCGTGAGATATCACTCCGCTCGGAGAAGAACGCCGACGTTGTGATCTTCACAGACGGCTTCACTCCAGACTTTCGTAAGTCGGAAGAAGGAGCCGATCGGATCGGAGCCGTGATGTTCGATCGGAGGGCCGACGCTCCCAAGCAGTTCACTGAGGTGATCCCACTCGAAGTATCTGACCGATGGCTCGCGAGGAAGACCCAGATCGTCCCGATCGAGATGATCGCGCCGATTCTGGCGCTCGAGACTTTCCTGGATCACGTGAAGAATAAGGACGTTCTCCTTCTGATCGACTCTGAGGCGGTCGAGGCTGCTCTAGTGAAAGGATATTCTTCAAAGGAAGATCTCTGTGAGCTCGTTGAAGTTTTCTGGGAATTGGCTCTTGAATATAGGGTCAATTTCTTTATCGATCGAGTTTCCACAGATGCTAACCCCGCAGACTGGCCATCGAGGGATCGCCTCGAGATTGGCCAAGCTGCCGGGTGGTCGACTGTTTTGTGCTCATGGCCAGCGAAGCTCCGCTAAAAGATCGATGCAGGGCCTGGGAGGTTGCTCGTATTTCGAACGAAGGGAATTTGTTCGAGATTCTCTCGCGTCTGGTGTCCCGGGAAGGGTTCGCCGGTTGCGGGTTCGAGCGACTGCGACGACGACGACTCCGTTCATGGGTTGTCGTTGTCCTGGGGTGGGGGCCGGTCGTTTCTGATGCTCTTCGGTAGTTCTTCTGGAGACCGCTCAACCCCATGCTAGAGCGGATTAAACATTGCTCGTCCGCTCGGTGTGTTGCATGCTGTTCAGTGAGCTTGCGAGCGTTCGTGCGTGTAGTGTGGTTCTCCTATTATCGGCTAGGTAGGTCTGGAATAGGAGGGTCACACTACAGCATGAGATCAGCATGCTCTTTTGACTTTTGATCACCACGTTGATCCGTGGCCATTTTGGGTCGAGACGATCGTCTCGATCCGCGAAGGATCTTTTTGTCCCACCCAACCCGCCCTTTTTTTTGATGAGGTGGGAGGTTGCTCGTATTTCGAACGAAGGGAATTTGTTCGAGATGCTCTCGCGTCTGGTGTCCCGGGAAGGGTTCGCCGGTTGCGGGTTCGAGCGACTGCGACGACGACGACTCCGTTCGTGGGTTGTCGTTGTCCTGGGGTGGGGGCCGGTCGTTTCTGATGCTCTTCGGTAGTTCTTCTGGAGACCGCTCAACCCCATGCTAGAGCGGATTAAACATTGCTCGTCCGCTCGGTGTGTTGCATGCTGTTCAGTGAGCTTGCGAGCGTTCGTGCGTGTAGTGTGCTCTCTCTCTCTCTCTCGCTCGCTCGCTCGCTCGCTCGCTCGCTGTACATGTTGTATAAGTGTCATGTGTCATAGGTGTGTATTTTCGATCAAACCCATCCTCGCTTCTCCCTGTGTCGTGCACACGTTAGAATGAAGCCAGCAAAGGCAGCCTTCGAACCACAACAATTCGATCTGGTTCGCCACCGTCTCCCACAGCTTCTTCAAACACCTCGAGGCAGGAAGGCACTGAGGAGCCTCGTGGAGAGGGCAGCCAAGGTGTGGATGCGAGAACTCCAAAAGTACTGTGGGCAGCGACCCCAACACCAAAGGCCACTGAGGCCGCGTACAGCTTCGCCTTGCCGCCCACCGAATCTTCGGCTGCGTTCTTGAATGCAGATGCGAAAGTATTTGTGCCGGTCCAGCAATCTGGGAGTGGCGCAGTGCCGGAGGATGTGCCTGACCATGTCCAGAACAAGGAATATGGTTCCGAGCATCTGGAAGCCCAGGCGGTTATGATGGCAGAATCCGTCTTGGGCCTTGATTCTGAAGGATTGCTCAGCCCGGCTCCGGACACGGAAAGTCCCGGAAGCCAAGAGCCAGTGGTGACGGGACCAGTGCCGTCAAAGGGCTCGGCTCTACATCGTTCCGGCCAGTGCCGCCCATGCGCCTGGATGTGGAAGCCCAAGGGTTGCCAAAACGCGGAGAATTGCGAGTACTGCCATCTATGCCCCGAGGGAGAACTGAAGCATCGCAAGAAGCTGAAAATTGCGGCAATTCGCATGGGAGCCCTCGGGCCATCCTCTCACGAGAGGGCTGGAAAGGCGGCACCTCGAAGAGATTTGAAGCTCTCGTCTCTGCTATGATGGCTACAAGGGCCCAACTTTGGCTAAATGGACAGATATCAACTGGTGATGTAAGCTAATGTGCAATCGAATAGGCTGCCTGGTCAGTGCCCGCATTCTTCTGGCTTTCGATGTGAACGCTTTTTCTTGTTAGTTTCGTTCCTGCTTTTTCACAAACCAGAAGTGCCGAGCGGTCAGTGGGCAAGCAGCATTATGCACGATTTTGCGTGGCTTGCACAGTCAGCTCTACTGCGCAGAAGACGTAGCAGAAAGGTGCTGTTGCATTCGCTGGCTAAGTTGAAGGGTAGGTGGTCCTCAACAATGCTCCATTCGCATGCTTTGCAGTCCCATCTGTTTTGGATTGGGTGCATGGCGAGCTGCGAGCCTCATTCGCAGAGTCTGTTCATCGAGCTAGTAGCAGCAGTGCTTAGCAGCATTATTCACATCTGATGTTGAGGAACAGCGGACAACCGATTGGAGTTATTTCTAGCGCATCTCTGCCATGGATCCATCTCGTCGCTCCGGTGCATGCCGTGTTTGCTTCTGCATATTTCTGGTAGTGCTTTTCGGCAGGCTGTGCCACTCCTTGAGCTTGTGCTGGATTGGCACTGCTCGAGATGCCTCCCAACTGCCACTTGGTGGCTTGCTGCACATTCGGCCTATTCAAACTTCCATGTCACAGGACGTGACATCGACGGCAGAACATCAGACAGCCCAGAGAGCCCGAGAGAGACAGTCTACGCCATTGGTAGCACTGGCTGGCTCAAAGCGTGCGGCGTCGACTGCGAGCTTCGTCGGATCCCAGTCCCAGGATCTGAACTTGTTTGGTCAACAGCTCAAGCCTTGCTCCCGAGAAGGGGACACGACTACCGGCTGGACTCGCAGTGGGTTTTGTGCATGGGAACCGTCGGACAGTGGATATCACCAAGTGTGTGTCACCATGAGCCAGCAGTTCCTGCAATCCAGTACGAAATATGACGCGAATGACCTGTCTAGTGTGGTGCAGGATGGCGGTCACTGGTGCATCTGCGCCTGGGCTTGGGCGGCTGCAGTTTCTCGTGACCCTGAGCACTTCGAGAATCTGAAGCTGGATTGTGCCAGGACCAACGCCTACCTTCGAGACGTGTACCAAAGCTATTCCGCCTCTGGCCAGGGCCTAACATCACCATCGGGCGTGCAGTATGAAGCACAGGCAGCTTTGGAGGCAGTCGATCGACTCTGCAGTGCATGATGTGCTTAAAGAGCACCGGCGTGACGACAAGAAAAGACAGAGCGTTGCCCACCACACTCCTGTGACTTTGTGCTTGTGCGGAAATGGGGGGTAGGCTGACAATTTCTTCCAAGATTGAACTTCCCCGCAGGTATAGGCTACTGTGCCAGTAAAAAAGCAGTAGGTGTGTGACAAGCGACAAGAAAAATGGTCAAGCTTGATGGGCGATGCCTGTGCGCGACGGGCTGAGAGTTTCCAAAGCCGAGTGTGGAGCGAGTGGCCTGTGTGTGGAGCACGAAGGTCCAGCAGTGCTGCTGCATCAAGCTGCCGCTGCCGCCTTCTCCGGCTGAATCCTGAGTTTCAGTCCCAATCAGAAAATCCTCCGCCTCCGCTGTGGCCTGAGGCCGGCATGACTGACCGTGTCCGCCAAACAGTCAACACCATCCCAACACAAGGTGGGTGCAATTGCAGAAAGTTGTTTCTTGCTCTGGCTTTGTTTCTATGATTGACATGTGTTTGAGACCAAAGCTGGACAGCAAGGGATGGCTTAGCAGAAGACAGGACGTGCCTGTCTTGAGCATTAGAATCACTTCTCGATCTGGGATACTCGAGAGACACTCGTCGGCTCTGATCTCTCAACTCACTGGTCGATTTTATGCAGCCGTAGCCATCAATAATCACGAAAGCTGTTGAGCTAGCGGGAGTTGTCCTTTAGCAATTCACCTTGTATTAAGGCACTAGGGAAAAAACAGGGTTTGCACCTTCTCAGGTGGGACGTCCAAGAGTTAAGGTCGGGGGTTGGGGGGGAGGGGGTGCTGCCCCCCCCCCTCCCCCCCCTCACCTCGTTCATGAAGTATCTTCGAAGGATAAGGTGCAGCGCGCTCCCCCCTCCCTCCCCTCCCTCCTTGAAGGTTGCGGCGCGTGGCATAAGGTAGAGGGGGGGGGGCCCTCCCCCCTACCCTCAAGTCAGAGCCCGGGTTGGCACTGGTGAGAACAGCTTTCGGAACGGCTTCCAACGGCTCATGATGCAGCTTGATGTGCTGTAGGTATGTCGACGCCTTGTCGCGCCCGATGACGCTGGCAAGGTATATTCTGCGGACCACGCAAACTATCGAGCCGGAAGCGTGCATGTGACTTGAGAAGAGGGCGACGAAAGCTAGGGGAAAGGAAGCGTAGCTGGGAACATGGGGTGACTAGTGAGGCGATGCGGGACGTTTGACATGAAGACTACAACTCATGAAGCAACAGCTTGGAGCAAGGAACCTCTGCTACGGAACGTTTTTTGCTCGACGTGCGAGACTTGCAAGTCTAGGTCTCGCAAGCAACAGACTTCAAACAGAAGCAAACTGAGGGACCTTGCGAGGGGGGGGGGGAGGGGGAGACACTCTGACTCGTCTCGTTTCCTTGCTACTCCAAAACCCTATGCGCTGACTTTGGGTTCTTCCCGTGACTCTGACTCCGGCTCGGCAACGTTGCCCCGTTTCCTCAACTTCCCTCCCCCCGGAATCTCCCGGACCCGAATGCCACGAACATGTGGACAGTCTTGCAAGCTTCACTCAGCGGCCAGGCTGTGATGCAGCGCAGTGCGACGGAAGGCGGGGCTGAAGGAAGGAGGTGAGAGCATAGCCTCCAAGCGAAAGACGACAGATGCTTCTGTTGCAGGTCCTGCACTCCACCGAGAAGCAGCGGGACCATGTCGAATTTTGGCTGCACCTGCTTCAAGCTTCGAATTCAGAAGCGCGGTGTCAAAGGAACACAGCTTTAGCGCAGGCCGTTCACTTATTTCAACAGTGAGGCCTTCTGGCATGATGCCATTGGGAGCAGGGCAGCGCCGAAACACCACGGGCGAGCGGAGCTGCTTGGATGAAAAGCCGACAAGCCCGTCAAGCCGCAGTTGTTGCTTGACGATCACTGCCAGCTACTGATATGTGTTGATACCTCGGGACGGACAGGCTCCGGGAAAGCTTCGACAGAAGCACGCTGCGGATGAAGGTGTGTTCCTTTCTGATGTTCTCAGGTTGCCATCGCTGAGTGCACAGCTGCTTGTCTTACCATCATTGAGGAGTAGAGGCACCCGAGTGTCAGCATGGACACTCCAAGTCATCCTGCGGCTTAGCTTGAGATCTTGAGGCCAATCACAAGGTAAACCAGTCGGCTGACATGCGCTCTTTCATGTGCTCTTGTTTCTTCAGCCGCCGTGTTAAGGAGAAGAAGGATCACGTTGCAGCCGATGTCTGTAGCAAAAAGAGACGGGGCTTGCATTCTGATGTGGTTCCTTACAATGCTAAACTGTGAGCTGCTTGAACTAGCAAGCCTTGCGTTTCTGCTGTGCCTAGTGTTTCAAGTTACAGTGGCCACACAGGCCAGCATCAAAGTCTGATCTTGATTGCTGACGACCGTATTTCTGTTTGAATGCTCCGCTCTCGTACCAGTTTTGCGGAGCTATACGTTGAGCCTGGCCTGGCTAGAAAATAGGGTCGGTGCAAGTTTTGCTGCATGATCCCGGCGGTGAGGACCGATTCATATTCAAATATATAGAGAGATGTGGCTTAGGGGTGAGCCCTAGATGGTGCTCATGTCCGGTGATCTGCGCCAATTCGCGGTTTCAGTTCCCAGCCAGCTCAGATCATCTGTTGTCAGCACAAATCCTCACCGGTTTCCTTAGCCAACAAGAACTCGTATGGATCTCGGGCGCTGGGGAGAAGTTTTCCATTTTGGTAAATGTTAGGTCCAATGGGTGGGAAGTAATTGCAGATGGCAGGACTTTCAATTACCCGCTTGACAGGGCCTGTGAGCTGCGGGCAGAGCGCTACTTTCCAGGTGAAGGCGAAGTGGAAGACTCACACGGGCAGCTCGGCTTGAAGGTTTATGTCTAGATTTCTGCTGTGTGTAGAGTCCAAAACTCAAGCTACCAAAGCAGCGCGGCCAGCCATGGCCAGCAATGGCCAGCCGCAGAAAGACAAATGACAGCTGTCGTCACTGATAAGTATGTCGCCTCAGAAGATTGGCTGCTTGAGGTTTCGGGTTGGCGCCCGGCAAAGTCCGTTACAGGCCAGTTCGCGAGTTCGCAGAATTTCGCTATGTTTGAGCTGCCGGCTGTCTTTCAGTTGCGTCATGGTGGCAAGACGCACCCGCAATGCAGTGTGCCGGATGATGAAATAGCCGCCGCTGGCCACGTGCGAATTCAATCAAGGAGCAATTTGTGGCACAGTTAGAACTGCACCTGTCGAGTGTTACTGCTGCAGGCCCCGGCCATTGAGTGAGCTTCCTGCAAGAGCATTGCTTCGTCGGGACGCGTGGCTATGCTGTTGGCCCATGAAGTTGTGTTTTCCGATGCAGGGTATTCGATCACACAGAGGTGCAGGATCAGTGTAACTGCAGACATCTCTCTCTATGTGTGCATAGTGGACTGTAGCCTGCCGTTTTGCTAGCAGCCTTTCATAATATCATAGGACCTTAACCGGCGTTAAGCATAAGAATGCTTGTCGTCTGCATGCAGTCTGTGCAAAATCGCTGATGTGGCAGAGGATTGACAGCTGATCCCTCGAACGCAATGTGGCCGACGCCCAGGCCTCTTTTTTCGAGGGGTGCTGACGCGGCCTGTCGTTTTCACTGACCGATCAGTTTCCAGATGAAAGAACGGGAAAGACCAAGGAACGGATACTCTCGGACGACTTCTGTGTTTCCGACATTCATGCAACTTGTCCAGGATTGTGTACGTGTGTGTGTGTGTGTGTGTGTGTGTGTGCAAGCTTTCCTTTGAAAAGGTCGTGGTTTCATGCTGCATACCAGGCTTTTCTGACATCCTTGCACTTCATGCAGTCAGTTCTGTTAAGTTCTGTCACGGTTGAATGTGTTGTGGCCCAGGGCCTGGCTGTTCTGCACCTCTGGCAGTTTATGTAGCTCTGTGGATTTCGCATCGAGGTATCCGTGAGCGCTCGTGACGATATGTAGAAATCGAATGTTTCAAGTGTTTGCTGCCCGGCGATTTGTGTTGGAAGCCGGGCATGCTGAGCATTGCTTGGAAGCATGCCCCACAATGATTAGTTCCTGGCAACATGGTGGTTTCAGTCTTTGCTGTAAGGCCGCACCCAATGAAAGTTGGCAAAGTCCTGGTGACTGAAAGAGTTGTGGGCATGGTATCCATGTGGTTAGGATTTAGCGCTCGCGGCTGTTTGGCAGTGTGCGAAAACAACACAAGAGGAACGTGAGGAGCAAGGCATCTTGGGCTGAAGGCCATGTTGTGCAGGACCTGGGCTGAAGCTTGCAATCAGTTCACGACCTTCCTGTGCCGGTGGGCCCGAACTCAAATCCAGTGTAAGCAGAGCGGCCATGCGCGGTGCCCTTGCTGGCCTTGCCGGAGCAGTAAAAGACATGCCGCGGAGTCCGGCAGGTTGGATGTCTCAAACAAAGAAGAGTCATGCTCTTGGTTCTTCCTCGCCTTGCTGACAGTCTTCTGCGATGACTGAAGATGGTCACTTTTGCTTCTCCCTTTCAGCACGCTATTTCGTCTATCTAGAACGCAGGCAGTGGCTACAACGACGAGCCCGCAGCAAATTCGAAGCTTCAGCCGCAGCAGCTGCCTACGTTGCTTCACTCCCCTCGGAAGGCGACGTGGCTTGTAATCGACACCTAACTCCTGATGCTGGTCGTAAGCTTCGACTGGGTCGACACCGCACGATGGGTTTTGCCACAGTGCACGGCCTGGGTCGCAGATTTAGCATGATCCGAGTCCGTGAGTCCATGTTCCGGATGCGATTGTTGCAGGCTTCGCCTTCCAAGCCGAAGAAGCAGACTGCCTTCCAAGGCCGGCTGTAGCTATTGGTTCGTGCCCGGGTTGCGTTCTCACGCCCTTCAGGAGTTGCAGAAGTCAGCTGGGAAAGGTTTCTGCCGGACTACAACTCCAAGCTTGGCACCGGAGCCTATGGTGGCGTTTATTCTGTGCAAGGCGGGATTTTCTGAGCGTCTTGCCCGGACACGGGCAGTAGTTGGAAGCTGGGAGCAGGCGTGCTTCCCGTCGAGCTGCGCAGGTAATCCGGACCAGGTTGTCAAACTTTTCGACCGTGGCGATTGGAATGATGTAATGAAGGAGTCGGTGTTTGCACAGGACATGAAGGCTCGGGGACGGCGCAGGCTTTGGCAACAACTAGAAAGTCCGTGCTCGTGCCAAGGCCCGGGATCCATCCCACTACGTGGATTGCCTCGGAGTTGGCAATTCGCCACACGACGATGGCAACAAGCTTTTTGCTGTCTTCGAGCGGGCCGCCGGCATTACCCTTCATTCTGCAGCACACCGCTGCCCGATTGAATTCTGTAAGGGATTCCTGCTTGAATCGTTTGAGACTGGCGGGTAGCGACGCAGCAGCGCAGCCGAGGATTCCACTCTGGAGATGGAGTAAGCCACGCAACAGACCCAGCAAGAAGTCTGAGTTGCACGAACACGGCTGCGTAGCCTGCCATCCGGGACGGGGCGAATTTTTGCCTTGCTGGCCGGTGCAGGGGCGCTTCTTGCATAAATAACCGCATGAGGCTGGGGATGAATGAGATAGCATATGCCGGATCGGCAGCTCGCAGCTCGCAGTCGGGGGAGGGCACTGCAACACGGAGTGAACTGGGTCTGCTGAATGCAAATTTGGCATTGCACGGATGGCCAACCGGCCACACAAACTGGGGCGAACGACGCTGAAGCTTTGCTTGGGCGACACACCATGCGCTACGCATATGACGCTGTGTTTCAGCTGTGTGCCCCCACAGGCCTTCACACTCTCCAGTTGACAATACCTGGTCTTTTCATGGGGCAAGGTCCGTGGTGCCCCTAACAGTGTTTGCCGGACTCCCCGGCTCCAATAACACCGGCGAATTAAAGGTCCTGGTTGAACTGTTTGACTACTTGTAAAAACAGGGGACACGCTCACGATATATGCTGATTCCCAATATAAGCAATATACTCTTGCTCTTCTTCTTGGCTCCTCCGTTTCGACAACTCATCATCAACTCGTAGTTCTAGCGCAGCAATATCATGCAGCTGTACGTTGCTGCTACAGAGTTCGAATTTTAAAAGCTAGGACATAGACTCGCTGACACCCTCGCTAAACGGGGCGTCGCCTCCTTTGGCTCTTTAGGTCGTTTCTCCTCCCCGTCTGCATTTCTTCGCTCCCCAGAGATTGGCTTCGACCAACAAACCTGGACATCTCTATTCACGGCATCAAACTCAAGGAAAACACTCCTTTGATGCCCGTCTTGCCTCTAGCGGCCAAAAAGCCGTGGATCGCCCCTCATACACTACACCTCATTCATAACTTCAAAACACCTCCTTTTTCAGATATTCGCACTCTTAAAGCCTCACGAAGTGCCATTAAAAAATTGCGAGAGGGACACAAAGCTCTTCATTGCGCAAAACCTGCAAGATGACTTCAATGGCAGCGCCGTGCAACATTGGACTCACATGCGTCAAATCCGGGCAGAATTGCGCCCCAAACCCAGGGGAGGGGGGCGTGACCAACCTTGTTGCGCGGGAATTGACCTGCTTACAAATACCTCCTCCGGAGGGGGGCGGGAGACCCGGCTGGGCCTCGGTCCTGTCCGGCCCCTGACCTCCCTCCGATTATGGATTTATGGGCAGGTCGCACGACTTGAATTTATGCTTATTTATGAACTGCTCCGGCCCATCTATGGTCGCTGTGTCAACGGTGCAGCGGGACTTACGTTCGCCCCGGCCTGGGAGGGTCGTAAAATCTCCCAGGCGGCACCCCCCTTTGCCGTACCAGCCGGTTATACCGGTATACTGGATAGGGGTCATAAGAAACGGTCCATGCGCCAAGCGCTGACCCATTTATGGTTCTGATTTTACAGCGTGGGAGTCGAGACATTCTCCGCTCCTTCCTACGATGCCACAGGCATGTTTCTATGGTTCCTCTTTCGGGTTTCACTTCTTTATGCTTTCTTTTCTGGTTTACTCGTCGGTTCCGGTCGTAGCTTGCTCTTCACACTACGCACCGCCGGCAATGCAGCAGCAGCAGCAGAATTTCGCCCCAAAGGCAGCTGGACTATATCACCTCCGAAATATATAAGCTGGTTTCCTCCTCTCAGCGTGCGACTACGTTCGCAGACTTTTTTTCCACAAAGATATGGCACTCAGAAGGAGATCCCCCTGTAACAGGTACCAGGGCACTCTCCTTTCCCTGTTGCTCTCGAGGTTGACTCTCCATGTACCATGTACGGTCTAGACATGGCACTTGGCCGCCTCAAGTCTCGTACAGCCCCTGACCCAACGAGGTCCCAGGGGAAATCTATAAGCATGCTCTTTACATACCTAAGTTATAGCTACTCTCACACCGTAACCAGTGTTACCAAGAGGTGCAAGTTCCCTCCTCTTGGCTTTTCTCTGACGTTGTCATGATCATCAAGAATACCAAAAAACTCACGCTTTCTTTCCAACTATCGCCCTATCTCACTTACCAATATCTCATATAAAATATTCGCTTCGATGAATTAGAGACAGACAGTTCGGTTTCAGGAAAAACCGATCCACCACTCAACCAACACATATCATCGGACGACTCCTTGAAGTCTTCGAGCCCCAAAATTCTCCCTTCCACGCGTTATTTATAGATTGGAGTAAGGCATTTGGTTCGGTAATTTTTACAGCCATCGAAGCTGCTATGGGAATACATGGGCGTTCCCCCCCCCCGCACCCACCGTTTTAGTGAGGGGCTCCTCTTAAAAATCCACGGTTCGAACCCATGCGAAAGGCCTCTCCAAGGATGCCCTTTCTCACCCTACTTTTTCGGATTTGTTCTCACCCACTTCTTTCATGATGTTGAAGTCGAGTATCAGTCGAAATTCGGAGAAATTTCGGGAGTTTTTCAGGTATCCTCCCCGCTGTGCTGTGGGAATTAACTTCTTCACGCGGTACAATTTCATAGTGCGGAACGAGACCTGACAACCAATGAAGATAAGTGTTAACATCGACGCTTACATTCCACCCAACACATATATTTCGCCCCGCAAACAATATCCCCCTGCCAATGCCAAGCTTGCGGAGGAGTTCACACTCCGCCCACCCTAGTCCCTCTCTCGGACGAGAGCCTCCATCTCTCCGTTTATAATGCGTATATCTGTATATGTATATGTGTGTATGTGTGTATGTGATTGTATGCATGTGTGTGTGAGAACTTCCCTAGTAAATGGGACCAGAGGGTCACTCCTTCTTTTGGTTACAGCAGGGGGCCAAGAACCCACATGCCCTGTCCTGGCCAACGAAGACCAACTGATGTGGGGGTGAAAACGTACCTGTGAGAAAAGCTGGGGCCCCTGAGCCAGCAAGATTAGAAGGCCCATGTGCCAAGATTGGACAACTTACAGCATTTTTTTCCTTTATCCTGATCTCTTCCCTTATGCAAAATCCATCAGTGTGATTCAGCGTGGGTCGTTGGACATCTGAGCAGCGGCTTTCCGTCATGGCGGCGTGGTGACCCTTCGTGGGCAACCGGTGATGAACCGGCTCCATTCAGATTCTCGTTCGGCTGATCAATTCTCCCGATCGACTAATTTATGATTATTGCTGACACTCTGCAGGGTGCAAGTGAGATAATCCGGCTGCTACTGCACAGGTCTACCTCGCTGTGTGGCTTCTCTATGTTACGCTTCCTCTCAGTGATTGCAAGGGCATGTGAGTCTGACATGAGGGCAGTCGCGGTAAAATTTCGTCTAGCGCAACGGAATTGCAGCGTCCTCGGAAGTAATTGGTGGATTCTTTCTCTTCTCTTTCTTGCATCTCTTCCCCCCACAGGACCCTAACACCTTTTGAGGTCCTCGAAGGACGGGCGACCTCTAGTACCATTCCTCTTGTTTTCTTTTGTGCCACAGCTGGAGGATGGCCTACTGCTCCTGGGTGCCTTAGTGCACAGCTGTAGGGTGGAAATTTTTTCCCGTTACTGGCCTTGGACCCCGCTTGGGTAGCTGGTCAGTGGTCGCTCCGTTCCTGGGCTGGCAGCTGGAAGAAGGAGTGTATTAACCCTAAGCCCGTAATGACAACATACAACGACTACAATGGCAACAGCCCTGGACCCCTCGAGGGTGGCTGGGTAGCAGTTTCCTTCCATTCGCCCAAAACTGTTGCCTTTTTGGGGCCGGCGCGCCCAGCTGAGGGACAGTCCCAATAATTTTTTGCTCCCGGCTGGATTTGGACCCTTGCAAAAGCAGCTGGTCAGCCTACCTTATCGCTCTGTCACTTCTGGGGGCCTGCTTGCCCAGCTGAAGGACAGTCGCGAATTTTGTAATTCTAAATTTTCACTACAGCGTGGACCACCACAACATCGGTACACCTTGGACTTCGTCGTCAAGCTCTTCATTTGGGCACCGCAGCCCACAGGGTTTTGTGGTTTAAATCTTGGGTCTAGGTAGATCTTCATGCCCTGGCGTGGCTTGTTCGCCCCCTTAAGGGCTGTGTGTGTGTGTGTGTGACAACCCTGTATCCAAGGGCCTTCTCCTCACGCTCTGCAGCCATTTCCTATTTACGATGTACATATAACTGAACTTGAGTGCAGATTACACAGCAGGGGGTGGCAGCAGGGTCCAGAGTCTGCCACCAACGAAGACACACTGGATACCCTGGTGAAGCACGGTCTGATCAACCGTGTGTACCTGCCGTTTGTGACATCGTATATCATCTTTGCTGTACATTGGTTTCATTTGGCTATTATTATTCTGGTTGCGCTTCTCTGGATATGGCATGGGGCTAAGCCGAGAACCCCGACCAGTCGTTCTCCTGCAGCTATGGTATCACTTCAGAAACAGTCAGTGCTTGAGTTCATGTCGTCTGGTATGCGCTGGTTTCTGGATGGCCTGGGGCTAAGCCGAGAAACCCGTTTAGTACGTACACTTGCAAGCATTGCTCAGTGCCAGTGTCCACCTGTTCAGTCCTTGCCGTGTCCTCCGGTGCGTTGGGGTTCAGGCTGGCGTTGTGGTTTAGTTAGGCAGGTTGAGGTGTCAGCCACAGACTTTCTGCACTTCCTCTTTGCAGTTGCTGTCCATGAAGCTACCTGTCCGAAGTCTCTGATGTGTGGTCGCTTGAGACCTGGACATCAGGTGGTCCGTCGCATACCGAAACCTTCCTTAGCATTCAGTGTGTAGTCCTCCGGGACGGTGGTGTACGCCTCGGTGCTGCACTCAGATCCTCCAAGTTCGGAGGCGCCAAATTCAGTGTCAGCGCTTAGACCATTTCAATGGAGAGAACAGTGAAGCCACACGGCCTACCCGCCTCTCATGGCACCCACAAATTCGGCTCCATGCCTACCAACACGCGATTGCAGCTCAAGCGGCTTCAAGCACTCATACCCAAGGACTCAGGCAG